CCGCCCGCTACACTTCCTCTTCCTCTGAACTCATGTGCAAAATATGCTGCGCTGCATCTTTAGGGGAAGCCGAGCGGCCCCCGACAGCCGCGGCGGGAGCGCAGAGCCCGCCCTGCGCTCCCCGGGAGCGCTGCGCTGCGCCCCTTGCTGCACGCGGCCGGCAGGGAACTAGCCTCGCTTGCTCGCGACCGCCTCTCCACTCGGGGGTCCCAGGCTCGCCGATCCTGCACCCCTGACCCCCTCCTAACCCGGTCTGTGTGCGGTCAGGAGATCGCGTGAGAAACTTGGAGGCCGGGGGGGAGGCAAGATTTGAGGCTAGATGCTGCCGGGGAGACCACCATTGAGGTGCTGATGGCGAGGGTAGGGATGAGGGTGGGGGAAACAAGCCCTTTGCCCATTCCACAGGTGAGTCCCAAAGCGATTGGGAGCTGCCCTCGACATTTCTTTCCTTTTTCATCTTTTTTAGTTCAAGCACCAAGGCTTGAACTCAGAGGCTTGAACTCAAAGCCTTGAACTCTGGGCCTCACACTTGGTGGGCTTGCTGGCTTGGCTGCTGCGCTACCACTTGAGCCACATCTCCAGTCCAGCCTTTTTGCTCATTGTTTTGGAGATGGAGTCTTCCTTGCTTTCCTGTCTAGGCTGGCTTGGAACTATGATCCTCCAGATCTCAGCCTCCTGAGTAGTTAGGAGTATTGACCTAAGCCACTTGCTAGAATCTGCCCTAGTCACTTTTGCGAGTTTGTGCTTCAGGAAGTGATGCCACTACACATGCTCTAAGCAACTATGGAGAGGCAACTTGGCGCCCCAAGAAAAAAATGGTATCAAGGCTCTGTGCTACATTGCTTAAGTAAATATTTGAAGCAGTGGGTACATTCTAAAAGAGCTTCTTTACTTGGTGCCTGAGCTTGAACTCAGGGCCTGCACCCTGTCCCCTACAGGCCCTCTATTACTTGAGTCACAGCTCCACTTCTGGCGTTTAGTGGTTAATTGGAAAAAAGAGGGTCACCATCTTTCCTGTCCCAACTGGCTTTGAACTGTGATCGCAGATCTCAGCCTCTTTAGTAGCTAAGATCTCAGCCTCTTTAGTAGCTAAGATCTCAGCCTCTTTAGTAGCTAAGATTACAGGCAGGAGCCATCAGCGCCCAGCTTCTCTAAAAAGGTTTTCTTCCTGTAATTATTTAAACAAGGCAAAATGAGTGTATACAAATTCTGAGCTGAACCCCTGACCAAATGGTCAGGACTGGCTTTGCTGACTTCTCTCCTTATTCCTGTGTCATCTGTAAGAAACTTGACTGCTTAATGTAAAGTGTTTAGAAAGCACTCTGTTATTTAGCTACTGTCATTATATGATCATTATAAGGAGACTGGAACAAGAAGGCAGAAATAATCTAGTTAATTATCTCCATTTTCTGGTTAGGCAGAAAACAGTGGAGCCCACACAGCAGAGGGCTAGAGTAGGCCTCAGGTCTTAATGAAGTCAGACTGGTGCTAATAACACTGTTGTGTTTGTGGGAACTCTATTTGAGCTGCTCAGATTTTCTTCCCTATAGCCATCCAATCTCTGTTTTCCTTACCACCCCACCCCACACCCACCAAGGCCTGGTCTGTTTTTGTTGTTTCCTCTTGCCCTCCCCTCCCCTTCACTTCACCACTTCCTGTCAAGACTAACCCAGTTTTCTCTCCCAACCCTACCCTATCCAAGAGACAATGAAACACCATACAGCCTAAGGCTAGGTTCAAATAGCCCTGTGGGGGACAGAACCCCAGAGACACCAGGGCTGATTTTGGACACCCACACCTGTTTATAAACAAAGGGTGATCTAAGGGCGATCTTGGGGTTACTCAATGACCCAGCCTGAGGCCTTGAGTTGCTAAATCAGGACCCATCCAAAATCCTCTTCATCCTGTGGCCACAAGACTGGAAAAAGAAGACATTTCAGTGTGTTAATTTGTGGCTATGGTATTTAAAAGGAAAAAAAAAAAGCAGGGAGGGATGGTTGTGTTTGGGGGAAGCAATTTGTTTCTATTCAATGATTTCTACTCAAAAATCAAATTTTTGCACAGTTGTATTTTGGTGTGTGTGTGTGTGTGTGTGTGTGTGTGTGTGTGTGTATGTATGTGTTGTTTTAATACCAGGTCATTGAGGTTAATAAGCTATTCTGATTGCTTCAGTTTTCTTCTACTCAGTATTTTCCTCAGTTTTAACACCCTTAAATGACTTTTTCCCTGCTACATTTTTTTTTAGATCTTTCTAGAACTCTTGGTCTGTCTCTAATCTATTGTGATGCTTCCAACCTGGCACATAGTAGATCTTCAGCAAACATGGAATAGCAGATGCCATTAGCATCCAGATCTTTTGAGGCTCTGTGTAACCAATGTTCAGTAATTATCCAGAATATTCTATCCCAGCTCATCTGGAGTATCCAGTGAGCTACTGCTGGGTAAACTATTGCCTTATATAAACCTTCCTCCCTTGTACACTCAGCTAGCATGGCCTGGTCAGCTAGAGGATGGATCCTGGGTGCTGGGCCTTACCTCTAACTGACCTCATCTACCCAGCATCAACCCCAAAGATGCTGGAACTGTATCCTGGTGGGTTACCTTGGCAACCTCACAATGTCATCTGTTAGAATGTCCTAGGGCGGCAGCTTTTAATTCTATCACAGCAGTCTCCTCAGGGGTCATGTAATAGTGCTGTTTTTCCTCTGCTCACACTTCCTCCCCCTATGATTTAACAGTAAGTACTTGGGGAGGGAGCCGAACACGGGTAGGGGGGTGGAACCAAGCTATTACTGCTCTACGGGTCACAGATATCCCCAGAGCTAGGGGCCCCAGTGTTCCAAGTCAATAAAGCTCAGGACCCAAGTTAATGGGGAAGCTGGTCTGCCTCACACCCCCTGTGGAAAGGAGAGGCGTAACCCAGCCAGTGAAGTAGAAGCAAGCCTGGGCAGACTGACTGCTGACAAGGCTTAGTTAAAGGAGCCCCCCCACTGGAGCATAGGCATTCTCTCCTAGACTCAGAGCGCCACCCACCTGCAGATAGTTAAGGCCAGGGGTCCCAGCAACCAGGGTGATCTTGCTGTATCCCAGAAATGTTGGGGCTCAGAAGGAAGGAGAAGGCCAACCTGCCTTCTATTCTGCTATTCTTCCCTCACAATGCCACCTTACTCAGTCCTGGCCCTGCTCTTAACAGCTCCTGATGCCTGCAATCCTCACTGTTTTGCAGAAAGCAAACAAAGCTTTGGGCAAAAAATGGCCCAACAAAAGCTATGGGAACTGAAGAACCATTGTTTTTCATTTTGTTTTGTCGGTTGTGGGGCCTGAACTCTGGGCCTGGGCGCTGTCCCTGTGCTCTTCAGCTCAAGGTTAGTGCTCTACCACTTGAGCCGCAGCGACACTTCCAGCCTTTTTCTTTTCTGTTTATGTGGTGCTGAGGAATTGCACCCAGGGCCTGGTGCATGCAAGGCAAGCGCGCTCTCTGAGCCACATTCCCAGCCCCAAGAACTATTGTTTTAATTATTTCTAGGACCAAGAAATCCAAATTTTATGCTCACCAGCTAAATGGCTACTTCATGGTTGATGGGAGAGATAAGTAAACTCATCTGTGCCCCAGAGGTGTGGGAACTATACCTATCATCTTATTTAATGGCTTGTTTGGTTTGGTTTGGTTTGTGCTGGGGTTTGAACTCCAGGATCTTTCCCTCTCACTTGGCTTTTTCACTCATGGCTGGTATTCTCCAACTTGAGCCACACTTCCAGCTTTTTGCTTTTTAATTGGAGCTAAGAGTCTCACAGACTTTTCTGCCCTGATTGACTTCGAAGAGCTACAGAGTTTTCTGCCCAGGATGGTTTTGAACTGGGATTCTCATATCTCAGTTTCCTGAGTAGCTAGGGTTATAAACCCGAGCCACCAATGACTGGCCAGTTAATTTAAGTGGGTTTCCAGCCTTGTGAGGTCACAGTGTGGCCAGTGCTCCATGCTGAAGGGTTACTAGAGCTGCTCCTGCCCTTTGTTCCTCCTGACAGGCACAGTCCTAGCGATCTGATTCCAGCCAGGTCACAGTGGAGCAGAGCAATCAAGTGTCCATGTGAACACATGCCTTTGACTCCCTGGGCATATGGGAGAGCACATGTGGGTGGGGCAGGGAGCTGGGGGGCGGGGAGGGAGGTGTTGCATATGCATTGATTTGCCTATGCCAGGGACTTTTGTCCAAAATAGAGTCAAACTAATAGTTTGAAAATACCACCCACAGGCATTGGCAATTTCAGGAAATGTTGGATGACAGCCAAATATTCCATTCACACACACAGCCCATACCAAAGGAAAAAAGAAAAAAAAAAGTATTGTTATACTGTTTCTGAATCTGCTTCTCATTTTACCTCTGAATTCTCAAGTCAGACAAGCAGTGCAGCAGAGCAGGGGCCCTCCTGTGGCTGAGCGAGATTCTGCTCTCCAGAGCAAAGAGCCATTAGAGACTGGAATTGGGGGATATTGAACAAAGCTTGTTGTATCTGAAGCCTCCTTTTCATCAAAGGCCCTGAGGAATAGCCCGGCTCTGCCATCTGGAGCCATCTTCCTTCATGGCTTCTTCCCTTCAGGAGACATGTCTGCTGACATGTGTTTGTGAGCAAAAAATTATGATTAGTGATGGGGATGAGTATGTAAGGAAATGGCAATGAGCTGTGTGTGTGTGCGCGCATGCACGTGCACGTGTGTATAGATGTATTTAAAAATAGATACCCTATCTCAACAAATAAGCCTGATGTAATGGTCTATTTCTGGAATCCCAAAGAAG